CTTTTCCTGCTTAGAAAGTCGTCTAATACGAAGGAAAATACGGTAAGCTGTCTTGAATCCCAGATTTTGGGGAAATGTAGGGTATACCCTAAAAGCACAAGATCCAGTCTAATCTTCAAAGCTAAGCAAGGGTTATCCCTGGTTGACGTGGATGGAAGATCACCAAGGAACACCAGGTGCCGTAAGCTATATTTCAGACGAAGGATTGGGAAAAATCACTTCTAAGTATTCCTTGACTGAGGGCCAATGCAGATCAACCAAAAGGGCCGGCCTAGGGGTGAAGTTGGGGGTGGGGTGACTGCACGCCAGCTGCCCCAACTCCCTCCTGACGCCGCCATCATGCTGCACACCTGACCACATGGTGCGCAGTGTGCACATACGCTGTGCAAAGGGGCGCAAAAGAGCAGTGGTGGCTTTTTGCCACCCCAAAAAGGAACGGCATTTCCCAGCTCTTTTTTGGAGCAGCAAAAAGGAGGATCGGGGCTGCAGTGTGTGGTTGCCGCGACCCTGATCCTGCATTCCCAGGGGCAGCATATCAGCCCTAAGAAAACCCTATGAAATTCATAGGGTCGCCCTAAACCAACAGATGACTTGAGGGCACATACACACATACAAACAGGGTATAAACAAAGTTAATAATAAACATGTGAAGTTTTATGCACCTTCAACTCAACTCCAATTTACTGAAACCTAACCCTAAGGTTTTCTCTGCAAGATATATTCAGAGGAGGCTTGCTACTGCCTTTGTCTTAGGATGAGAGAACAGACTTGCCCAGATATGCAATGTCTTTCCAGAGTGGAGGTTCAGACCCAGGTCTCTATAAGTCCTAGTCCAACATTCAAACCAGTACATCACACTTCCTCCTTAGTTGCATAGAGAGGTGGAATATCAACATTTTAATCCATAAAAATAGACTAATTGCTCAACGGAGAGGAGAACCTGAGAGACGGAAACACACAAAATGTGCCAAAATAAAAAGACTAAACTTTTAAATGAAAAGTATCCAAAAGAAATGACTGACTAGGGGGAATGGAAAGTCTTACCCAGAGAGGCCACAATCCCATTTATCTCTTCCGTGACTGCCTGATACAAAGCCCTCTGGCCTGGATCTAGCAGCGCCCATTCCTCCTCAGTGAAATGCACAGCCACCTCCTCGAATGTCACAAGACCCTGACAGAAAAAAGGGAACTGATTACAAGAGAAATAGGCTATTATTTAGATGCAGATGGTGAGTTTGGGTGTTGTGGTTTGGATTTCAATCTTCTTGAATAGCACTCATAGGCTTCCTAGTATGCACGTTGGATGGAAACTAGGAAAAAGACAAACAGCTCTACAGGATCAGAGAGAAGAATATGGAAGTGAGGCATCCATCTTGTTTTCTGTCTGCTTCTCCAATCACCCTTTGTCCTACCTGAGCTGATCGCACAGCATCTGTGTCTCCTCCATCACAAAGAGCAGCCCACCGAATTTGTGTTGATGGCATCATTCTGTCACCTATGAGAGAGAAAGGCAGTATCATCTGCTTGTCTTGGAGATTATATAAAATATGCCCAAGCACACCGGATATCAAATCCAAACTGTACACAATATATATATATATATATATATATATATATATATATATAGTCATATCTCAGCTAACAAAGCCTCCAACAATGAACATCCCTTTTACAAAATCGTTTTATGCCCACTTAGATCCCCCTTTTCTTCCTCATCTACTGACTTGCTGGAAACTTTTTAGCAGCACTGGCATTGAGAGAATAGTGGACTAGGACAAACATGGATTTTTGGTATCAGGTTGCAGCAACACTGTGTGCAGTGAAGTTTCAGCTGGGAAAGAAAAAAATATGGACTGTGCGCCAGTTTTTCAGGGTTGGCTGAAAAAAACCTTGGTTTAAACAAGACCTTTTTTTTTTTTAAAAACTCCTTTTTAAAAAATTAACTATTCACATATTTTTTTTTAAGTTTGGCTATTATTACTATTTTTCATCACTCTTACTGGAACAATGACTGTTTGAATTTCAACATTTTAACTGTTTATTGGTAGTAGTTCATTGTCAGACCAGCATCCAGTGTCAGTTGCTTCTTTTTCAATCACTTTATATTATAGTGCAAGAAATGCCATTCAGAACAAAGCCTTCAATGAACATATGTTTAACCATAACTTTATTTAAAAGAATACTTTTTAAAAAACAATTGTTATTTAAGCCAGTGGCCGTAACATTTGAACTGCATTTTGCTACTTCATTTTCTGATTTAGTCCTATCTTGGTGTTGTCCTATACTACTGCATATAGGCTAATAACTTGTCAAGATAATTCCCAAAGTTTTATTGAAAGATATAAATAATATCAAAGCCTAAGTACTTTGGATTATTAATGTTAAAGGTAAAATGTAAAGGTAGTCGCTTGACATGAATGCTTAGTCATAATTGACTGTATAGGGTGGTGCTCATCTCTGTTACTAAGCCAAAGAGCTAGCATTGTCCAAAGACGACTCCATTGATCTTGTAGCCAGCATGATAGCACCAAATGCTGTTACCTTCCCATCAAAGTGGTACCCATTTATCTACAGTCGCTCCTCTGTTTTCGTGGACTTCAGATCCACATCCCTCGCTTATCCATGTGGGACAAATTGAGAGGCATACAATGGGGCACGTGCCTCGAGCCTCCATTCAAGCCCATGGGGCTTGAATATGTGCGGATTTCCGTTTTCGCGGAGGGGTCTGGAACAAATTCCCCGCAAAAACGGAGGGGCAACTGTACTTGCATTTGCATGCTTTCGAACTGCTAGGTCGGCAGAAGTTGGGACTAGTGACAGGAGCTCACCCCATCATGTAACACCTGGGCCTCGAACTGCCAACCTTCCAATCATCAGAACTAGCGTCTTAAACGCTAAGCCAATGTTAGAAAGCATTAAAACATGGTTGATCAAGCTTTCTAATATGCAAAATAATGTTTTACAGTATTAACACAATAAGCAGGATTCAATATTTTTCCTTAAAGCATTAAGGTTAAAAAATTGGTTTAAACAAAGAACAATACTCCCCCCCTTTAAACAACCACAACAAAAATGGGTTACAAACTTGCTGCATCTTCAGTATAGCATCCTTTCAAATATAGGCATCATGTCACCTCTTAACCTTCTCTTCTCCAGCTAAACATACTCAACTGCCTAAATCACTCCTCATAGGGCACAGTTTAAAGACCTTTCACCATTTTGGTTGCCCTTCTCTGGAGGCACTCCAGCTTGTCCATATCCTTCTTGAATTGTGGTGCTCAGAACTGGACATCTTTTTGCCCAGGGAGACATCATATCTCTTGAAGCATCTTGTCAGATCCACAAAGTACTGATTCTGTACTCTTCAGCAGGGAGTCCCCTACCACCACGACCACCACCACCCACCTCCTGTGAAATTTGGCAGAGACCAGTCCATGTGCTGATTCTTCCAAGGTCTCCTGTACACTACCTGAGGATTGGTCCTGCACTCTTCTTCATCATCATTGGTAAGGGTGAGAGCTTCAAATCGATTCTGTAGCTGAAAGCTTGCAGAACGGTCCCTGGTTCTCCTACTCCTCTGTGTCAAATTCCTGCAAATGTCTATCTCCTGTGTATGGGAAGTGACCTCCTGCCCAGAAACATCTCCTGTGTGTTCCCCATCCAGGAAAATCCGTTCTGCTCTGCCCAAGAAAACCTCTTGCTTCCTAATGTGCTGAAATGTAGATACCTACCCAATCCTCCAGCTGCTGGAGCTTCTCCTCCAAAAGGGCTATCAACTTGCACTTGGTGCAGGTATAGCAACCCACATCCTCTGGCAGGAAGAGAAACATACCACAGCAGTTGCAAGTGACT